GTCGAAACGTTGTACATTTGCTGTTATGTTAAACTTATATTAAAGTTTTTCTTCATTACCCATTCAAGCCGTCTCTAACCATTACTATACATGTTGTTTTGTGTACCATACATAAATGGAATGATATTTTAGACTGCACCATGTATATACATGATGCCTGTTTTTATTGCACGACCTGACACTATGGGCAAAAAATGCAACTGTTACATGTGCATAGTTGTATCTAACCTAGAAAATGTATGCACATGTATTCGTGTATCAATATTTCAACAAGAAACATTATTAAATATTTTGGACCACTCCCACCTCCAATAATTTGGGTGCTTGACCCCCGTGCCTAAAGTAACAGCGTTCACGCAACATATTAAATAAAGTGAAGGTTATTTTACTATAATGGAGACCGGAGACACAGTTACAACTTAATCTAGTAGCATAACATAATTTTAATTGTTACATACATGCCACTTTAAGGTGAGCCACATATGCCTGTTGAGGGACGTCTTTAGAAGCGCTAATTCCAACACAGCGGTAAATTCCTTCATCAGAAGCTCTCACTCTAGACACCACCAGGGAGCCATTAGGGTACACAATAAACCTGTAACAAATTGATTAACAGTTACCAACAAACAACCTGCATTAAATATTGCTTTTTAATACACATAACGTAGGTAAACTAGTATGTAGAATTATACATGGGCTGTTATCTACGTTAAAATACTTTTTTTTATGCGCGAGCTTTCGGCTTTTTCACTAGAGCAATGTATAGAATAAAACAGAGAACAATCTGTGTATAATTGTACACATGCGCTAAATATTGTTAGTCTTAGCTTTAAAGGTGGTAGGTACATTGTTCAATCGTTTGGTCTGTGAAAGCGATTAAGTCTTGAGAACATACAGATTAAGAAATATATCCATATTCTATAATATTTCTATTTATTGGGAGAATTCGTTAAATTCTAGGTTATATTAATCTATCTCACTGTACAGAGTTAAAAGGTTAGAATATATGTATTTATTTCCATGAGTATGCTGTGAATGCGCTTTGATTCTGATTGATATTAACTGTAAATCGGGAAGTAAACGGCGAGTTGTATTCATTGTGGGAAAGCATTAGTTTGGTTCAAAGCAACTCTATCAGAGCAACAATTTATATTACATTAGCCTAACAATTAAGAACTATCAGCATTGTTAAAAAAATTTGAATGATTAAAGTTGACAATTAAAGGTGTTGATATAAATTCTAATGGCGATATATATATATATATATTGTTACGTATCTGCTCGTTTGATAATTTCCTTAATTTCCAGTATAAATTCTTTCCGAGGAACTTCAGTGATACTAGTCCTTTCTTAATTAAAACTAGTTTATTCTTTCTCGATACAAATTTTATAACACACGCTATAAATCACAGTGATTCACACACTTTACTTACAATGCCTACTATTCGCTTGATTCAATTATCTCTATCTTCAATCTATCTACATATCTATCTCTTCTTTTATTTCCCGGGCTTAGATACTAAAAAAGAGGGCGTCCCGAACAAACTAGGAAATTCACGATCATTCGAGAAACTCCTCGCACACGCCACCAGCGCCAATGCGTCAGCAGCATCACGTGGCTTCTGCTGTCGTAACAATATATAGCAAATTGCTCACAACTAATTCAGTATTATTATCTATGGGGTTTTTGAGTCCGTTTTGCTTCACCATATAGTAACCTAAATTAATTCAGGTATGTGAATAATATTATGGCATTTCGTCGAATTAATTATTCGATATTATATAGCGGACCAACTGTTAAATGATTGTATATACATGTTAAATATTTCTTTTCTTTGACATATATATCAGCATATGTTGTTGATCATGTGATGATGTTAATCGAAAAAATTGTCTTCTTCTGTCCATTGAATATTTACTGACAATTTGATCATTCAAGAAGCTAAAATATTCCTCTATACTTGCTTATTTCTGGCTGATCTAAATGTACCTACCTAAGAAGCGTATATTTAGGCTTCTCATCAATACTGTTTCTAGGAGATCAGTATCACAGACGTGCGATATTATACATGCAGCTGTCTAAAACTACCTAACCCGATATATTAATTTGCCATATTTCATCATATTAATACATATATGCTAGTTCAGGGTATTATGTAAGCAGACAGAACGTGTAGGTGGGATGATGTAATTATAAAATGGTCTAACATTAAAACATTAAGGCGGTTGTGACGTTGCCGGTAGTTATAAATAATATAGGCATCATCGCTACAAGTTTTATATCTTTAGTATGAAGCAATTTTGAAAAGTTAGTATATAATTTATATCATAAACAAACAAAGCACTTTGCTCATGTTCTACCAACCACCACAACAAGATTAGTCTAAACATGTCAGTATCAAAGGTTACAAGTGCTAAGCATGACATCTAATAGCTACGAGAACGACTATACACTTTGAACGGGTCATGACCGTTCTAAACACCACATTACTCAGTTAATGACTAAATTATGACGTATTAGTAGGTTGTTTTCTACTTTTCTTTATATGATTACGAAAAATGAAAGATACTTGACAAAGTTTATTATACCAAATAGTTTATGGGCACTACAACCAAGGCAACAATCTTATAACCTAATAACATAATGATCTCTTTAGCTTCAAATTTGGAAAGTGGCATTTTTATAAACAATAATACGCTGAGGTGAAAGAGACTCGTAACGAATTGATTCCAGAAACTATAAGAAAAACTATTCGCCTGTTATAACGACCCTGCCCACCAATGGCACAGCAGTATGTCTGCGGATTTACAACACCAGAGACCGGGTTTCGATACCCGTGGTGGACAGAATACAGATAGCCCATTGTGTAACTTTGTGCTTAATTATGAACAGTCAACTTATAACGACCCCTAGTGGCATTTCTGTCATGGTGATTTAATTCCATTTAAAAATATTTTGAAATAAAAAGGCTATTTAAAATGTTCTTACCGCCTAACTTAACCTCAGATTAAAACAGGGAATGGAACACAGTAATAAAATATTTTCCTTTTCAAAATACGAATCATTGAGCAAATCTATAAGTAACGGTCAATTCCGCTATTCGATTACAAAAACCCAAGAGTTAGCGGTGGGTGATTAATTAACTGTTTTCCTTCTAGTATATTACCTCTAAATTAGGAATGGCTAGGATATATGGCCCTCGAATAGCTTTTTGCGAAATCCAACAAACAAACACTCTCTCTTTGGTGTTATATATATATATAATTAAAGAGAGTGTTACTGCTTGTTTTTGTTGTTGTTGAGGCATCATTCAACAAAACGATATTCTTATTCAACAGGTATTTCTAAAATTTTAAGTATCATCGTTTTGCGTTATTAATATCAGGATATGAAAACAAAAAAACGGTTGAAGCAAGATACAGAGAAAAAAATATCAAAATTTTGCAAAATTACAGTCACCGGGTCCTAAAATGTTTGGCCTAAATGTTGCCTTTTAAAGTTCTTAGATAACTTTTTGCCATGTTTGTATTTTTATATTTTAACATGCTATAATTGTATTTGTTATTTTCGTCTTCAGAATAAATTATCATCTTCCTTAAAATATAAAAAAGAATTATATCCTAATTGGTCACTTCAAGTGAACGAGACGCGAAAATAGTTACTATAATTTTTATATTTTTAACAGCAGTATTTCAGCGTTTTTTTTTCTTTCTTTTTGAGCCTGCAACATTATTCGATTGCAGCTATTCCGCCAATCTAGAAAGGGGGAAGAACATTTAAATTTCAATGGCGCCGCTGTAAGAGAAGTGTTCTGAGAGACGCGGGCTTCTTGACTATCTCAATATCCACCGTACTTATCACTGCTTCGAACGAACAAGAAGACTATGAATTAGCTCGCACCCGACTCGTCGCTGCGCAACAGGAAATTAACTATGAAAGGCAAGTAGCTTACGACTGTATACAGACGGTATTTAAATTACGAAGGGGATAGCATCCACCATAATTACTTTTTTTTGTAATGAAACTCATAGAAAATGCCGCGCCACTGTCGATAAATATCACTACTTAAGCTTCTTCACGTCTCTGGTTTATCCACTCCTGGGATGGTCTCCCACAATAACAGTTTCTAAACCAAAGGTTATTAAACTTTTTGACTTACATAACCCTAAACTGCCCTTTATCCATCAGAGTACATAATCTCCGTAGCAAGCCTAACAAGACGGATATCGTCACTTGTTTTTTCACTCACATTCTCGTTTCATATAGCAAACGTCACAGTTAAAATTTATCGCATTAGACACAAGTAGGTTGTAATTGTAACAAACAACTAGCATCTCAAACAATGGTTGAAGAGCCAACCAATCACAGAGGATGATATTGTAACCATTTCAGCTACTTTATGTTACCAATACGGCATTTTTTTTGTTATTCGTTTGTTTTGTTTTATTTTTATAGCATCTCCCCCTCTTCTTATGATTATTAGGAGTAGTTCGCGAATCGCTTCCGAAAACAAATGTTCTAATTTTTGGAGTCATTCTAGCGACTGTTGATGCATATATAGCATATGTCTGCATTTTCGAAACAAAAGCTTCTCGAAAATTTCACGAGATGCACTTATAACCACAAACGTTAGGAAATCACTGAGCGTTTAAAACGTTTACTTTAAGAATGACTTCAGTTATACTAAGGTACATAACCAATGGTTCCTCAGTTTTCGCATTTAAACCACTATTTTTATAATATTATTATTATCTCCGTCACCAAAAGTGGACGCAGGTTGTGTTTTCATCTGTGTGTGTGTGTGTTTGTCAGAAAGATTACTCGAAAATGGCTGAATGGATTTTGACAAAAGTTGGTATATATTTGGACTATAACCCGACTTAGAATTGAGTAGTTTTTGGAGGGTCAAGGTCACAACAAGGTCATGAAAATAGAAACAAAATCCTTATCTGTTAACATGGTGAGTGATTTTTCACACTATTTTTGCTCTATAACTCAGTCAAAAATGATCAGATTTTGAAGAATTTTGGTGGACATATGTAGAATATTGTCCTACCAAAAATGGTCTGTGTCAGTTGATGACGACGGACATACAGGCATAGTTTCTTGTTTTTTGATAGCCGAATATGATCAACGCTGCGTGGCGGAGGTATGCGCTCTACTGAATGTCCCTCTAGTTACACATTTAGAATCTGAATTGTACAAATCAAAATGAATACGAAAAAAAACGAAAATCTGCAGTTTACAATATTTGTACTACAAAATTGGTACAAGTTTATTTTTTATTCTTAATTACTGTTGCCAACTTCGAAGACACTAGCAATTGTAAAAATATTCTAGCTAGTAAAGCATCAGCTATAGCACAAGAAGAATTGTCAGCCATCTTAAAGAGAATGCGACCTGTATGTTATTGGTTTTGTAGAAAAGATGGCGGCAACGTCTCGTTAAAATTTTAAACTTGTTGTTCGTTTAAGCATAAAACTACACAATGGGCTATCTGTGCTGTGCCCACCGCGGGTAATAAACCTCAATTTGTAGCTTAGTAAGCTTTCAGAATTATTGCGGAGCTACTAAGGGGCCATTTTAAAGCTTAG